TCCCAACGGGGGGGTAATCCTGGCCCCGGGCAAAGGAGGGGCATATCAAAATTCCTCTCTGCATGAATACAGCTGCTGCACGACATGTGGCGCAATCCACGTGGCGCAGTCTGCGCGGAGCACTATATCTGCTGCGATAGATGTGGAGAAAAATTGTACAGTATATGTGGCGCACTCCATGCGGCGCAGGCTACGCGGCACAACTCACCCTGCCGAACTACTACTCCACTACTCGCGCAAACATCACACCCACCCACCCGCAGCTTGGTTTGCAAAACCAATGCGGCAGCGATTGCGATGACCGCATGGCGTTGGCTGGTGCATCTCTGCGGCCGCGCTAGCCCGCGCATGTTCGCGCGCGCAGCGGCCAGCTAGTTTGGCGCGGCCGACGCGGCCGCGGCGGCGCTGGCCGCTGTGCACATCCAAGCCGGCACTTCACCGCGAGTCGGCGCCTTGGGCGGGCGCGGCATCATGGCAACGTCGACAACGGTAAACGCGATGATGATATCAGCGGAGCTGGCGACGATGATGACAGCGGCGATGGCACGGCCAGCGACAACACCCATGCCGATGGCGCCGACGACGATGACGGCGCCCTCGCGTCAGCGATGAAGGCAGTGGAATAAGTTCGACTTGCACGCGCGGCCGACGCGCAAGAGTGGCTCGCATGGCGTTATTTGACGCGGACCGTTCCCCCCAGCACGTTCGCCAGGGCGGTCGTATGAATTCGACGCGCGGCGCGGGAGACGCGTTTGGCAGAATTCAATGAACACGTTCAACAATGAATGTATCCCTTCAAACTTCGCCAGAGCGCGAGCGCCGTTTCTTGCAAACTGCTGTTGCGAAACCATGTACTTCAAATAAAACCACGTTGCTTGGACACTCGGTTTTGAAATCCGCCGACACTGTGTCGGCGTGTGTGAGGGGCTTGTCCGTTCCCGTCGTTCGTTCGTCGTCGACTCCGTCGTCTCCTGTCCGTGCACCCACCCTTTCCCTGGGCCTGCGCTCCCCCTTTCCCTGGGCCCGTCTCCCCTCCTCCCCATTTCCCCCTCTTCCCTGGGCCCGTCGCCGCCCCCCCTGCGCTTTTCCAGGGCCTCACCCTCAAGAGCAACGTTGTCATTGATTCGAAGGGAAGCCCCTTCCCTTTGATCCCTTCCCTGCCGGGGGGGGGGTCCCGGGGGGGTCCCGCGTCGGATACGACTCCCCCCCTGGGGGTCCCAGGGCCCACACAAAGCCTCAGACGGGCCACGAGCCGAGGCATTCTACCACGCCCTCTCCTCCCTCCCCCCTCCACCCTCATCTCTCCTCTTTCCTCCGTCCCCCTCCAGAACCGAACCGGCCTCCTGGACGCTCGGCCACGGGACACCCCAGGACCCAGAATTCCGAGGTCCCTGAGACCCTCCAGGACCCAGCCCCGAAACCTCCTCCCAGGACCCAGCAGTAGGAACCAGCCCCCCAAAAAGTCCAGGACTCCCAGAGCCCAGGCCCTGCTCGCCTCGTCCGGTTCTTTTTCATGCTCCTATT